CATTATCAGTAGGGTGCAAACTCCGCCTACAGGAGCCTGTCCATTGTCCCCAGAGGCAGGGAGCAGGCCCACCCCTGTGGAGGGATGAGACAGCAGTCTGGCAACTGATTCCCTCAGGGGAGGGAATGCCTGAGCATCTGACCTCCTCTCACATTGAACTAACCCCTCTTGATCCTAACTTTGAGAGCTTTTTTTGTAGCCACTCTGTGTGTGCATCTAATTCAGGATATTCCTCTAATTTATTGACACTCTAAACAGGATGTTCTTCTCTTAGAACTGGTCCTCTGGAACACATGTGCAAACTATGTGTGAAATCGTCACTGTTCTCAATTCTAAAGAGCATTCTGAGCCATTAGTCTGTTATTTCGTCCTCTTGGGACACAATCACTGTTTTTTGAAATCAAAGCTGTCCTTCCAATATGCGTTCCCTTCCTTGTGCCTCCAATGAATGATCTGACCAATGACTCCACCAAGTAGGCAGATTATTCAATTCACCTGTTCCCAGTGTCAGGGAACCCTTCTGTGCCTGGAACTCTTGTTTCTGCTTCAAGGGAGCCAATGGGTAGCAAGCATCTCTAAGGATGTGCCACAAGTTTAGGCCCCGGAGTCACCAGTTATTTTCTCAGAGAAGATCAGTCAATCACGACCCACAGTGCAGAGGGAGCAATGCAGAGACACCTTGTGAGAGACCTGACCCTGGGCTGTAATAGAGCAATGAGCTCAGGACAGTTAAAAGCATGAACTGCACTTATGAGTCTGTACATGCCTGTATTTCATTGTCAACATATTTTTAGTAACAGATAGGGTGAGAATGTCCGTGATAATCTGTTTCTCAAGAAGGAAACTGGTCATATAGGATGATAATGAAGGGTCAGAATCACTTCAATATTGTTCTGCAAACAGAGAATGTTAGTCCCTCCTTTAAAGTCTGCAGCGAGGAGAAAATTTAGAGGAAGAAAAAGAAGAAGAAAAACTGTCCCTGGGGAGGCAGAGAGACAAGAAAGCAAGCCTTAATTCCAACAGGAAATCCTCCCTGTCATCCATCTGTGCCTGTCTTGGGCTGTGTGTCTGTGCTCAGTGGGTCCTGCGCGCCCCCTGCTGTCCAATGTGTTCCCTGCAGGGGAGGTTTGTGTCAGGGCTCACACTGACTTCCCCTCACTGTGCTCCTTGCACAGTAATACACGGCCGTGTCCTCAGCAGTCACGGAGCTCAGCTGCAGGGAGAACTGATTCTTCGATGTGTCTCTGGTGATGGAGAGTCGGCTTTGGAAGGACGGGTTATAATATGTACCACCATCGTAACCTATGTATCCCATCCACTGCAGCCCCTTCCCCGAGGTCTGGCGGATCCAGTTCCAATAGTAACCACTGCTTGTGATGGAGAAACTAGAGACGGTGCAGGTGAGAGAAAGCGTCTGGGAGGGTTTCACCAATCCTGGGCCTGACTCCTGAAGCTGCACCTGGGACAGGACGCCTGTAAATAAAGATAATTTTTCTTTTTCAGTCACTCGCAGTCACAAACATCCCCATGGATTCCCCATTGATGTCTCAGACCCTCACCTTGGGGAACTGTCACCAGACACAGGAGAACACACAGCAATAGCATCTTCAGACCGCAGCTGTGCTTTTCATAGAGACCCACAGCCCTGTCAGAAGAGAACTGATAGCCTTCACTGCTCAAGGGTGGGATTTTAATCTAGTGCCTGGTGATTGATTTGCATGTTAGGGAGTCCTGTGCTTATAAACAGAGAATGATAAGGAACAGACTCCCCTTTCCTTTGGACCCATTTGAAGGGTAACTTTTCATTTGAACTCATATGCATTTTAGCCTTAAGATGTGTGTGGGAAAGGTCAAAGGAAAGCCCAGGATTTCTGAGCTCAGTGTTCTCTCCTTCCAGCCCCTCCTTTCCCCTGCCCTGCCTTGGGCTCCTATAGGTCCTGTGCCCCAGAGAGTGGAAGGGATATAGTTTGTTGAAAGCATCAGGTGGGGACACCAGAGTATCTTCATTACCCCACACTCTGCCAATGCCTTTTCATCTTTACACACTGAGTTTCTTATCAGCCTCCCCAAAGTCTTCAGGGGTTTTCTTTGGGCCACAGTCATCACCAACTCCAGCACTCCCACAGATAACACAGATACCACTTCCCAGTTCTTGAGAGCTGAGGTCAATCTTGATATTACGAGATTCAAGGGTCCATAGAGTCTCACGGAGGAGGTTTCCAACTTGAGGATTTAGGCTGTGTAACAGAAAAGCTTCAACCCTGTGACTTCAAAGTCTGGGTTTAATTTTTAACTCTGGGTTAAAATAAGGTCCATCCAGGCAACCAGTCCTCAAAATTTAGTGGACCCCCGTAGACATTGTTATCAATGCCCCTTTCCCAGGGTACTCTGGTGCATCTAAATAGTGAGCATTTCCAATCAAATTCTGCCTCTTCATTTGTACCCTGTGCACAGACCTCTGATAACTCACTGCTCAGGGATCTAAACATTGAATTTATTCTCTAGATTCAAAGATTGACTAATTTTGTAAAAATGTTCACATAATTGGAAGCAGTAGCACTTTCTGTAAATATGCAGTTAAAATAACCAATTCCTATTCAGAGTCCTTCCTCATTTCTCTCCGTCATTAAGGAAGACGATGTTCCCCCAGATTAGGGTGGACCACACTCATTTTCTGATCAGTTATAATATCCTTAAATTTCTACATAGATGTGTATTTTAACACTGTGAAAATCCAAGGACAAGATTGTGGACACCTGGAATTCTCTGTCCCAAAATTTGCCAAGGAAAATCAGCCACTGCTTTGCAACAAAGACTCATAGACTTCACCAAAATCCAAGGACTCAAGCACATGACACTGACATTGATCACTTAGAGATCATTGAGTTAGTTTCATTCTCAAATGCAGACTGATATGGCATCACTTCCTCGTCATTTCAGCAAACTCCACACTAATAGCCTCCGTTGCTGCTTGTTAGCTGAGCAGTTTAAGGTCCACACTGTGACATAGCTGCACACTAGTCCAAGTCACCTTCCTGTCTGAATGTGGCCTTCATGGTCATCTCAGTTCATTTCATGACCGTGGTCTAGGACTTCCTCAGTGTCCTCTGATAACATTATTCCTCTGCACATAACTTCCCCAACAGGTCTACTAAACTTATCATGAATGAGCTCATGAGTACTCGCTGAACTATGAAGGACCAACATTTTGGACTCTAAACTCAGATGAACTGGAGCACACTACTCTAGGAACCCCAAATGTGTCCTCTGAAACCCATCACCTCTTCTGTCCTGACTCTCCGTCAGTGGCTGAGGATGGTAGCAGGACTTAGGCAAGTGAGTTTTTAGACCCATATAACAGCTGTCATGAGCAAATGTGGCTTGGGGATACCATTATGCTATTGCTGGTCTATCCTAGACTGAGTAAATTTTAGGGAAATCTTAACGGTCCTGTATCCTCTCCTCCCAATAGCAGTTACTGGGGACAGGTTTGAATCAGGGCTGACAGGTCCTCCAGCTTAGCTTGGTCCATCTGCACGATGTGCCTCCATGTGTGGCTTTCTGCTCTTTGGAGATAGAAGGACATTACCTCATATTACAATGAAATGTTTCGAATGCAATGTTTTATACAAGCCCACACTTCCAGGGAAGTCCTCAAGGGAAATGGTAAGATAGAGAAGAAATCCCAGACACTGACAGGAAGCCAGTTTTTAACTCCTCTCTGCTCTGTGTGCTGCAACTGAGCCCTGGGGCTGAGGGTTCTGAGCACTAACTGAAGTCCAGTCTCTCCCTGTAAGGGGGTTTGCATACAGATGTTTAATGATTTCCTTTATTGTGTTTCTTTAACTGTAATCCAAGGCTGTGTCCTTAACTTTGAGCCTGACCATTTAAATATGGGGAAGGTTCTTGTCATTGTCTCTGGGGACAGCAATTCAGCCATACATGGAGTGTTTGTAGGGTTTAGTACCAACATTTGTACCAGTAACTTAGATGCACTGCAGGCCCTTCCTTGGCACTGGCTGATGCAATCCATGTCATAACTGCTGGTGATGAATGCAGATGCAGGTCAAGAGTGTCTGAGATATGCCCTTCTCTGCCCCAAGTCTCCCCCAGACTCTATCAGCTGCACGTTTCCCTGGACATCTGCAAACAAAGACATTCTGCCCAGGAAACCATCACACATATCCATTGTTTATCTCTCTTGTTCATCATCTTTTCATTTTAAAAATTGCAACTAGGGAATCTCAGGCCAGGTAACACCAATGGAACTTGTGCATAATCATGCCCATTGAGTGAATGGGGAGACCTGGGCAGCCCATGGCTGTGGCCACTTTCCTAGAGTTGAAGGTTTGGCCAAGGCTGGTTTTAATCAGCAGAGTAATGTACTCTCTTGTGTATCCTTCTATTAGAAAGGTAACTGAGGGGCAGATATGACTGTCCTGAGGGAAGTAGTGGACAATTATAATATTTGGAAATATATATGATTTCCTATTATACAAGTTTACTGTGAAACTTCATAGAGACTAAGAGGAA